TACCTACACTTGTCCAAGGGTGCAATTTGGGATATCGCATCTGCAGGGTATGCATGGGTTGCCCCATTTTAACCGTATACATAGTCCCGTACCTACCATTACTGGGCTACCTTAATTTTATGTTTTCGCCAGTAGGCAAAATTAAATCAATCGATACAATAAAAAGGAGTAGTAAACATTTTATAAATTAATGAGCATTGATTGATACGTTTAAAATTACGTAATAGCCTGTAGGTGCCATGGTACGTTAAAGCAGAGTCTCGATAGTTGTTGTATTAAAAAGTTTAAAAGAGAATGAAGCTTACGAGCAAAGCTAAGAGTTTTAACATTATAATTTTAGAACATTTATTTTACATCCTGTGTAAAAATCAGAACAACGTACATACGTTTTTCAGTTACTTCTGTGGCCCAGTGGCGGAAAATGTATTATTCATTCGTATTGTACATATTTTATACTCGTAATAGACCCAGAGCGAAGAGAGTAACTATTCGCCTGACCACCATATTTTGAAAATCGTAAATCAGGCCCCGAGTTCTATTATTGTATTAGTAATAACTATGCTATTATACATGATCAGTTTCTTGAGAGGTCACGTTTTTAAGAGTAGTCGATCAGTTAAAACTTGCTGACCTCATACTGGCTCTCATAGGGTTCGGTGCCACGGTAGCACTAGCACAACCATCCCTTAATATTCAGTCGTGTAATATAGTGGCTCAAATTTCCAGATTTTGAGTGGAGATTCAATCCCTCCTCCCGTGAACTGATTGATCTTTATTTTTTTTGTCAATAACGACTAATACGTAGACAAAGTATAGAGTAATAGGGTAGAGAGCGTGTTTTTATATTTATGTTTTTATAAATGGTGAAGTACTTTTAACAACTATTTGCAATAAATACTCGAATATTTATGAAAAATAGTATGACGAATAAAGTGTTAAAAATACTATACACGTATTCATAAAATATCTAATTTAGATATTAAAAAAACGATACTCGTCTTAGAGAAAGTGTGAAATTATAGCCAATATTAAAATATATTGTATTTGTATGTATACAACTATAACTATAAGCTTATAAATTATAATGTTTATTATATATATGTACTGTGTAATTTGAAAACTCAGTTGACGTAATAGTGTCATAATTATTTATATAAATACTAAATATAGGTAGGTACCTACCGTCTACCGACACTATATCACTTGTCAATCAATAACCATATACCGGTGTATTAAGACTGCGCTTTTGGGTCGTCCATCCAATGCAGATTGCAATAAATCGTACAAAAACGTAAACAATACGAACAAGAAACGAAAAAAACACTAAAAACTTTTCTGCTGTGATAGCCCTATGTATATAGTATATAAATCATTGTGGCATATATGAATGTTTTAATGTTAGCGTGGCGTTTACAGTGCGAGGGGAGTGAAAAATCTAATTACGTTAATGTTCAAATGAAAACGAGTCAGGAGAAATTACAATGTTTTCATTGTTTTGTCATAGTTTGTAAACCTAATTATCAAATATGAATTCCTTATGTAAAGGAGGAGGATCGTTATTAAATTAATGCGCGAGTGCTCTAGAGTTATTCGATTTGAAAATATACCAAAACTCAGACTCTTAGAGGTCCAAAATATTCGTTATACCTACCTGCGATTGGCAATACAAAAAATAGCATAAATAAAATTAGCACATTTTTACCAACCATAATTTTTTAACCTAAAGATGTGAGTTTGTATAATATAGTGGTATAAATACTATACAACTGTATCATAGTATTATACGCAAAGTGTTAAACTATTTCACACGGGTTGTATTTAAAAAATATATTAGTAATAATAATATTATTAGAAAATTAATTTGATATTTAAGAGTATAATTTGCTATACTTTGTATCTACACATTATTTTTAATTTAAATTATTTCTCGTCACTATAGGATTGGTAACATGACTTTAATTTGTAATTTATTCCAAAATAATTCTTGAATTAATGTGGTTTTTAAAATGTCTTTTGAAATTGTTAAACAATTTTAAATTGCTCATTAGTTGTGCAATACTGGTATAAAATACAAAAAAAAAAATTTTTAAAAACACCATATTATAACATCTCTATGAATGCCTATTTAAAATTTGTTATTAGTTTATGAGTTGACAACGTGTGAGACATATTGACTACAGTCAATAAATAATAATATATGGTGACGTGGAAATAAGTATAATATCCGCTTAAAAAAACAAGGTACCCAAAGGTGAAAAAAACAATAACAATAAAATGTTTAACCAATATCTGGTGATTGAAAATATTCTATTATAAAACGCACATGTCTCCTACGTAAAAAGTACAAATTTGAATCAACTGCTGCGGTGCACTTATATTTTTCTCTTTTTATAACTTAAATATTTGTAATGAAATACATTTTAAACTATAATAATAACAATAAGAAGAAGAAGAAGACTAAACGTCAATACCTTTATGGTTATAACCATATAGTATACTATACTATTACTATATAACTAGTGCATACACTATACATAAGAACATAACACACTCAATAATGGCCATATACTAAATAACCATTATATTATATGAGTGTCTAAAAAGTGTTCTTGTTTCCGTGGTATAAATCTAAATAATTATTATTATAGTATTATAGTATTATACTATTTATACTCAACCGTTTGAAATCCAAAATTTAAAGTGTATTATTTAATATTATCAGTTTTTAATATGTATTATATATTATCATATTTCTACAGATTGCGTGTCCTAATCTGAGATATTCATTGACCATCATCATATACCACGAACGAAATTTTAGCAATAATTTATTCCATCTATCATAAAAATCCAAAAATAATATAATACAAGCGAAGACGCCATGAAAAAAATCGTGCTTGTTACATAGTTCGAGTGGATGATGTAAAACTATTTAACAGAGGGTATGAAAAAAAAGTTCAAAACGGTCAAATATTAAGTTTGTGATGGAAAAATTACAAAATTAAATCTTTAATTGAAATTTATTTATTATGGCTGTACACAGATACGACAAATTGATTATTATTTACTACCACCGAAACCTTAGGGTCCAAACAGACAATCTAATTTTTCGCCCACTGGTTTGTTTATATATCCATAGAATTAGATTGTGGTAAACAGACAGTGACGTCTTTCGCCAGCTGGTCAGTTCGACCAGTTCGTCGGTTCCGTCATATTTACTGAGCTAAGAAGAACACAGTGATCAGCTGGCAAAATCCGATCGTCTGAGGCACCTTTTAGTGCCGAGTAAGTCACTAACCTTGACGCAACTTACTCCCAAGCCTAAAAATGTATACACTTCCATAAGTAATAATACCATGATAATACTTGTACACATTCATATTATCTACCTATATTTATATCTATTTATATAAATATGTATGCTATTTATGTAACTATTAAGAAAATGTTATGTTTTCCTGTACACCTATTATAGTCGTGTTACACCTTATGGCTTATACTGTACATTAGATCTTACATACATTTAGTAATATTATTATGTTCTTACTCAGAATAAACTTAATATAATATTATGTAACGAGAAGATCTATATATTCACTAGATTCTAGTGCGACGAATAAATAAAATTATAGTAACTACTGAAGTTCGGTTTTTATTACAAAATTTTTTTGTTTATTTCATCGGTCGCAAAGGCGTTGTTTAACATAATTAATCGGGGATGGGCTCGTCCGTGGTGTACCTACTGTTAATTTATATAGCACTCACAGTAAATTTAGGACTAGTTCCAGAAATAGTAAAAAATAAATATTCTTCAGTCCGTCTCACGAACGGTTTTCTAATGCCGACTCGAACTTATATTTATAATAAGACCTTTAACAACCCATTTCAGACCTCGTAAGTCCTTGATGTACTAATATTTTATACATACGATTTGTGCATCTTGAATAGTGAATTTATATCAAAAGTATTCATGGCAAAAGTTACATAATCAAGATGATTGAACAAATGTAATGAGATGAAAAAAACACATAGGTATTCACAGCACACAAATTTTGAGCTCGTTTACCTTGCAGTCCGCAGAGTACACATTATAATACAGTTGTACTGTATAGGTAGTATTTATAGTGTATTTAACGGTTTATGAAATTTATGTTTTGAAGTTTCAGACGATTAGAAGTACCCATTCTAGAAATATTCAACTTGAAATTTATTAGTTTATTGTTATCTGCTGCAATGGGAGTTGAAAATATGAAATACAAAGGTTACACTTTTTTTTAGTGATTTTTAAAATTTAATTGTAGAATACACAGGTATTAAATATTTCAATGATTCATTATATTCATTACTATGTATAATTTAATTAACTTAAATGGTATGCATAATAGTATCTCATCTTCAAATCTTTTTGTAACATCTAAAAATTATCCAGTAACCACCTTCGTATTTATTACTTGTATTTAAAATTTAGAAAAAAACATAAGCCAAATGATGATAATATTGTAGAAACAACAATATAATAACAATATTATATAATAATTATAACCTTTTTTTGTCTACAGCATTAAGAGTAAATTTTAAATATTTTTGTTTTGAAAACTCGAAAATTGACTTGGAGAATTATTGTACAGCCGGCTAAATCGATCACGTATTCTGTAGGTATATAATATTATACTAACACGTGCAGTGTGTACCCTATATCGTTATTTTAAAAATGACCGCTTCAGTCAAAAAGGACGAACGGACGAAAGGAGACAACGACCGAAGGACCGACACGGCGCGGCGTGGGCGATATGCTTCCGACTCGGTGCACCACTTCGCCCACCCATCTCATCCATCACCCGTCGACCTTCCTCCCTCGTCCACGGTTATTCGTCCCTCCGAACTTAGTTGCGTGTGTGCGCTATCGGTGCACGTACGCACGCGTGTGCTATCATAATACCAGAGGGGGCGTCTCCTCCGTGGGTGCTATATAAACGGCCAACGACTCTCCGAAATTGAGCACTACCACTTGACGGATGTACCCGCACGGATGGCCGCTGCCACTTCGCGATCGGCACGAACAATGAGGACGTATACACGCGACCGTCGTAAGTACCCATACGCGAAAAATCGCAAACTGTTTTTTTTAGATCTTTTTACTTGTAGTACGCGTAGCTGCGGTCCAGTCTAAATAAATAGGTATCCATACATATAAGCTATAGGTATGTAGTTTAAATAAGCTAGCACCAAGTGAAATTTTTTTTTGGAATATTATTCATAAAAAATAAAAATGCACGATTACCTAATCAATTATTGTTATTATTATTATTAAGTTAGTTATTACGCTTAATTATTCGTTAGACAAACTCATTTCGAACAACTATAACAGTGCAATGTGACTACATAATATATGAGTAGAATTTTCAAATTTTTATTTTTATTTCTGTAAAATGTAGAAATTATGCTACCGAATGCCCACGGGGTGTCCCCGAAATCATCTGTCAAAACATTTTTTCTTCTTCTAAACCATCTGCATCATTTTGTACAAGTAGAGGTTAGGCGGGTGCCAGCGGGTGCGGCTGCTGGCGATGTAAGCCCTAACAATATAGTGTTGTTTTTTCAGCGCACATTTAAGTGTTCTTCTAATGTTAAATCAAAATAGTAATAACAGTCATAGTAATAATAATAATAATAATAATAATGATAATAATAATAATAATAATAATAATGACTAACTTAGTGTGTGCCTGAAAGTTTTGTTATGTAAATTATAATATAATATACACAGCATAGTGCATATAAGTGGTGGCTATACAGGGAGCAAAATTGCATTTCAAATGTTTAGCACAGTGCCGAATATTTTAATCGTTTTAAATCGTGAGGCATAATTTTAAATCATATAATTCAGGTCATTATAGAACATATCTAAACATATCTGATTTCCTCGATTTTTGCACAAAGGCATTCACTTTTCTTGGTTTACAAAATATAGTAAGGTTATTTATTTCCTTTCACATAATTTTGTTCAAATTATGAATGTATACACTTATAAAATATGTTTTGATACCTATATTATTTCGGTGAATATAAATTTATTTTTTTAAATTATTTATTTTTTTTCCAATTTTATAATGATATAAGCTTAAACAAGTATTTTATAGATTTTTGTTTATATTAATTCAGCTTAAAAGTTAAAATATTCGTTATACAACAGTACCTAAAGCCACTCGAACAGTTCTAATTTATTTGAATTTGATAAGTATCATTTAAATGAGGCTGCTGAAGTACACATGTCAAATAAAACGTTGTCGAGTGATATATATTATAATAATTTTATAATATAGTATAGTTTATTGAATGTATAAATGACAACAGATGTTTTTTCCACTTCATTTATAATACAGATTTTTTTTTTAACTTAATATTTTAAAAAGAAATCTCACTTCGATGCATTTGCTCAAGCACTTAATATACGCGTGTCAAAAAAAAATGACAAAACAAAAAATGTCAAATGTTCATTAACCCCGGTAGTATAATATAAGACATAATATGATTCTTTGTATTTAAATCTCAGCGTAATCCGTACGGCAATAATGGTACCTATTATAATATTTAATACGACACGACTACGTACTAGACATACAACTCGTTACATTTCTCCCTTATTTATTTATGTAATGTCGTATCTAAGTTCATATATTTTTACGTTCCGCAATTTGCACGATACTGATGTATAATTATTATACTATGTTTACACTTTGCATATATTTAATAATTTCTATATTCATTATACACACAGTGTGTAAAAGTCTTAATACCTACACACTTATTTTATTATTATTATTATTTAAGTTCACAGATATCGGACGATACAGAGTGTCTCACTGTATGTGTTTGACTTAAGCCCTACTGCCTATAGCTGAATTCTAAGACTTTCCTAACTGTTTAAGTATTTGATAGTGGACAATTTTAATTCTAGTTGTAAAATATTTACATACTAATACTGATATTTAATAGTTTTGAGTAAATAATAAAAAATTAAATCGTATAATATACTATTGACTATAATAATATCATAGTTTTCCCACACAGTTATAAATAGTAAAAATCGTATTCCAATAATACTTATTAGAAAGTAAACTAAAAAGTCGTCGGTGGGGCATGAGACACTCTGTATAATTTAACGCGCTGACGATACGACGTCGTCTGCGTCTAATATAATACGTAACAATAATGTTTCCTCGGTGCAGGGTGCAACTATATAATATTATATCATACGCCTTCGACTCTTTGACATTTCGTAAATCGCACCCCTTCGTCGATACGTCCACGGTAAACGACTCGAGCACTAAAATAATGATAGTATACTGTACCTATACAATAATAATAATATTTCTTTTCGGCGGCCGACTGCAGAATGTCCCAGGCGGCGCTCTTAAATTCTTCGATATTATGTACACGCAGATAAGCGCTGCCACAAGCAGCATGGATTGAATAGGGGTTGTTGTAAAGAGCTTTTAGGCGAATGTAACCCGCTCGGCCACTCCAAGTCCTCTTTTCATTAAGTCGCCGCATGTGCCTCGCCCACTCCATTTACGTGGTTTTTTCTTTTTACTTTTTAAAGCACACATATTTTTTTTTATTATTATTAAATAATGCCGCCGCCGCCCCGCAATATTTTCACACGCACATTTACCCGCGCTCTCGAGACTCTCGCAGACATAGTAGCTGCAGTTACACTCTGCAGGGTATATACGAACTTTTTTCCAATATTTTATACGTAGGTATCGGCCACTAACGGATTGGCTGCGAACGGAATACATCACACTTCCATATACCGCAAGACGACCACAACGAGGACACCGCGGAGTGACGACACGTCACGAATGGGATGCCGAAAGAATTTACAATAATTTGTCCGATGTACTAGTACAAGTTATTTCTATGAATTTCAAAAAAAAAAAAAACTATTAAAATAACAAAATATGATAAACAATATAAAACGCAATGGATATTCAGAGTTACTCACTCAATTTGGATGTGATGTTCAAATTGGCGCCACCACAACCTCCTTGAGTGAGCGACTCGGGGATCTACATGCTCGTCGCAGGCTGCAGTGCCCGCTTGGATTATTGTTTTGTTTGATTAACAATATGCCTAACAGATAACATTATTATCATTTCGATTAAGTGACGCGATGCCGTGGATATTATTTTTCACTGGTGTCTTTCTATATATGTATATATTCCCGATGCCAAGTGCAGTTGCATTCTGGCGAGATCAAATACGTATATACACTGCATGCATACCTATTTAATACATTATAGCAGTGTTTCCCAAACTTTTTGCAATAGCGACCCATAAGTTTGATCTTTATTGAGTACTCGATCCCATGCTAAAAAAAAATTCCATCGTACATTCTACAATACTAGTTGGACTTCACATTATTACTATACAATATAGAGATAACAATTTGCGGCTAAAATAACAGTAATCGTAACCACGAGTCACAACCCATCAAAAAAACTTCGCTACCCATTATTGGGTCGAGACCCATGATTTGGGAAACGCTGCATTATAGTCTAATATTTGTATGTTTATATTACCTATATTTTACTATTTACTACCCAGAAAATACGTCACGTTGTATTACGTGATTGTATTTATTATAATATATTATAATGTTATTGATATTGTCTTAAAAACTTTAATTTTATTTTCGTTCTGACGAATTTTATAAGATTTATTTATTTTTATCAATATCACGTACTATCGTTAACGGTGGGAAATTTGTAATCGACATAATTTAAATATATCATATTTTTATGCTATCACCAGATTATTTAGTAAAATGATGTACCTTTTTTTATCATACATAATGTAAATGACCACCGTCCGGGCATGTCCAGTCGTACTAATAGTAATTAAGTTAATTAGGTATATTTTAATTAATGTATTTCATATTGTACAAATAAAAAGTAAAATCACAATCACTATTATATACAATTTTCCTATAAAATAATAATTATTTGATTTATAATACTAAAATGTATAGTGTTTCCAATACTAATCAAAAATGTATACTGTTTCCAATACTAATCAAAAATGTATATATGTCCAATGTCCATGTTTCCTCTCTCAGTCAGCAAAACCGTATTTACTGATTGCTTTGCCGAACATGTGGGCTCGTTGAATTGTATCAGCTGTAAAACATTTCAATATTATTCTTCCAAATATGAAATATTATGCTGATTTAAATTTTATCTTTGTGTATTTTAATATTGTTGAATATCTTATCTATAATAGTATAATGTAATATATATATTCATTGTTAGATGCATTTTTTCTCGTCGAATAAGAGCTTTAAACGTTTTGCGCAGAAAGAAAATGTGAACAAATTCAATTTAAATGAGAAATCAAAATAAAATACAATTGCTGAATTTATCTCTGGATTCCAGTTACACAATTTAGAGTTTTTTTTTAAATTGTATTGCATAAAGAGTAACTAAATTATTTTAAACAATAAACACTGCAAATTACACAAAGTTCACAACTTGTTAAACAATAAACTCTACGTGAAAGCATTTAATGATTGTAAAACCCAGAACCCTATACCCAGTTAGGTACGGTAAATCAGATTTCTATTTACAATTAAATCATGAACAAATTATATATATGTTTGGCATAAAACGATATAGTTTTTATGATTCTTTTATTTGTTTTCATAGAAGCTTTAATCATGTGTGACTAAATATTTTTAATTTTTTAACAACAGTAAAATTAATCTTTGTTAGCTACAGTTACATTTTAGGAGTTTATTATTTGTAAAACTACTATGTACAAGTCTATTTACGGTTAGTAATTTATATTTTAATTATAAATTATAACAATTAAATTAAATACCTACTATAATACGTTGATACCGTTCATACAAAAAATAAAATAAGTAATAATGTAATTACCTGTATAATTATAGGCATAATAATTTACAGTCCAAACATTTTTTTTTGGCTATTATTCAAATTAATCAAATTTTGTTTTATATTAATAATTGATAGTGGTAGGACTTTTAATTGTGTTTTAGGGACATTTTGCAAGGACGTATTATGCAGTATAATTATTATTGTTATATTATATTTAAACTATATTTGCGATTATTGGTTTAATACCACATCAACAGACTATACAGATATTATACGATTAATTATAGTTTGTAGTTTGTACGACTATTCCACCATAAGATGATTTACTGCATCACAGAGGGGATGAACTACAGATAATTGTGAGTAGGTATACTATGAAAATACATTTAACTATATGTATACCGACACGATAGGTTTAGTGGTATATTATCTTATCCAAATTATTATTGTAACCCTTTGACATTATTTATTTTAAAAATTGTATGGTATATGGGTATGTAACCAAAATCTTCAGAATACCTACTTGAAGTCTTTTTTTCATGAAGTAATTTTAAATTTAGTGCTATATAATAATATAACTCCAAATGTATAGAGAATAGGTACTCCTGCAGGTAGGTAACAAATAATTTCAAAACCATAAAAAAAATGTAATTTTTACATATTAATAATATACCCTCAAATAAAAATTATTTTGAACATTATAATACATACACGTACAAAAATTAAAAAAATTAATCAACATAATAAATATACAATACACAGTATTGTGGGCTCAAACAAAACACACGAATATATAAAATAAAGGAATATTAAGTTCACATTAAAATAAGTGCGTTGTTAGGTGGCTCAGCACGCAATAATTAGAAGTAACTTGTTAAATAATTTTGATATACCTGCCCGAATTACTAGCCAAAACACTCCACAATCACCGTCAGTCCATGCCAACATCATCCAATTCATCACAGTCGCCAATCTTTAAACCAAAATTTAAAATCAATATTTAGAATAAGTATCCATCATAATATGTTATCGACTTAAATTATTTGTAAACTCAATGGCTCATGTCACAGAGGGTATTGCATCAACAACAACAAAAAAAAAAAAATGATAAAATATTTCATAGCAAACAATATACATTAAAACATTATATTGGTCTTAACTTTTAATAAAATATTAAGTATACCAAAAAAGATTATTAAACCTTGCCATTTTTTTCTTAATTACACATATAAAAACAAATTTAAATGGATATTTAATTTTAAATTAGTATTCATAATGATGTTACTTCTAGCCCGGAAAGCAATTTATTATAATAATTGAATAAATTAATGAAATATCTTGGCATGATTTTGTATTGACTTGTTTTCAGTTCTATGAACATATAATAATTATTAATTTAATTAATTTAATAATATTTGTTGATAGATACGCAACAGGAAGAGGACATTTTCATAAAAACATGTTTATCCAAACATATAACTATAATGTATATATTTTACGGATACCTATTAAAATTTAAAAAAGGTGGGGGACAATTTAAAATATCTAAAAATACTTCTAAAAGAGTCAATATATTTTGCAAATGGTTTCATACCTAAGAAATGATTATATAATATAAAATATAAGCATTTAGTGACAGCTTCAAGTATTTAAGGATATTTAGTTTTCGAGTGCAAAAACGATTACCAAAATCGATTTTGTCAAAAACTGATTTTGCTTAAAAATTCCTAGGTATAATATTTGCTACATTTTTTTGCTTTTTTCTGATTATTTTGAAAAATACTGAGAATTTTTAATTTTAAACTCTTAAAAGTGCCAACTAGATTCAATTTTCTACCAAAAACCTTCTTCAAAGTTGAAAATTGAAGCTGGTTTTCTATTATAAATCGTGTTAACATACACAAAAGTAAACCTCATATCATTGGAAAATCAATACATTCATCGCTCCCCTCAGAATCTAAAGTAAATAATACTCTAAAGTCATGTAGTATTGTTATAATAAAGGATGACTCAACGACTGGAGTATTTCAAAGGTGACTTCTATTATTAGCTTACTTACAGTATTTATAATGCTCATATATATACGTTAACGATAAGTACCTACTACCTACTCATGATATAACTTATAACTAATTAAATATATAGGTAGGTACTCGTTCGATCATTATTTATTGAAATTCTGAACAAAAATATTCTATTTATGAATACTAAATTATTTAATTAAAAATTACGTTTTCGCATCAAGCATAATATAACCTTTCACACATATTTATAAAAAGTTAATATAATGTTAATACACTTGTGCGATCTGGTGATGAAAAATTAGAAAAATTGTTAGTGGAAAACAATTTCTCGGTGTGGCAGTATATAATGTGTATCCATAATGCATATGATATGCATTCAGGCGCGGACTGGTAAAAAAGGGCGCGGGATGCTACATAATTTTAAGGGCAAATAAAACAAATTTTAAATAATAGGTTATTTATAAAATATTTAAACATTTTCTTTTGTTTTATTAAAATATTGTAAATACGTTAAAAATGTAAATAGGTGCCAAATTACAACAGCAAGGCAAGGTTAAAAGGCAACTGCAAACTTAAGGGTCAGTAAATTGTGATTAATTTTTGCCCCCCCCCCAAACCCCGCCACATAACAATTAGAGCTAAGTTCCTCTTATAAAGATTGTGTTAATAATAAATTAAGAAAGTATATTTAATGTATATATAAAAAACTGCTCAAACTAATTTACCTATTTTCTTATTGGCTACCTACTTTAAATGTATTCTTTTTTATTTATGATTGTTATAGTTATTACTTATTAGTTATTACATAAATAATAGATCTACATCTACCTACGATTTTATCAGAGAATTTTAACCTTCTCCTTCAAAATTCAGATTAATTTTAGGTGGGCACATTTATACCGATAGAGGCAAATATATTTTAGGGCAAGGGATGCTGTAGCATCCCAGCATCCCAGCCAGTCCGCGCCTGTATGCATTATGTTGCATGATATATAATACATAATGTATTATGTATTTATGTAATATTATACATTACGTATAACGATAAACGTTACACGTTTTCCTGATTTTCAGTAATCTATACGCGGAAATAGCAACTTCAGGATGAACGCAGTTTTATATGAAAATAAATAGGCAAAATAAACCATTACTACTGTCATTATTATTACTTTCTTAACGGTTTAAAATAAATAATAATATCATGATTCATTTGATACTTTTGGCATCAACTACGAGCTGACTTTAGCTGATTCTTCTA